TCATCCAGGTATCTCAAAGCATTCAAACTCCTATCAATCACAATCACTTTAGTCCTTTCTGTAGCCGTTATCCCACCCAGGTCATAACACCAACAGCTCTAAAGCGATTGCCTTCAAGAACACATGGCGTGACGTAACGTTCACCTCGACGCCTGTAGACACGTGTCCCGCCATCGGGTCAGAGAAGACGGAAACGTAACAGTGATAAGTACCCTTCTCCGGCAAGTATGGAACCTGTCATTTCTTATAACTGTAAGGTATGGGGCACAGAATAAATTTTGTTGTAATACTGTAGCAAATAGTGCAGATAGTTTTACACCTGAACAACATGAAGAAAACATGTCTAAGGGTAGTTGGGTTCAGAAAACACAAAATTTGGTGTGCAGAATTGAGCTGTGATTCTTTCCTATCATTTACAGACATTAATAGAAATATGAGTGAGTGAGTGAACGCCGCTTTTAGATATATACCTGCAATATCACGGTGGGGTACACCAGAAATGGGCTTCACACATTATACCTATGTCGGGAATCGAACTCAGGTCTTCGACATGACGAGCGAACGCTTTAACCATCCGACCGCCCCAATAGAAATATGAAATGTTACTAGCATTCTGGCATAATTAACTGGCATGTCACCAATATTGTTTCAAAAATGCTTTCAATAAAAGTGTTAATATGGCCCAAAACAGAATTGGTTGGTATTTAACTCCCCTTTCTCTTGGATAAGCTTGGAATTAGACACAGTGCCTTAAGATTTATTGACAAAAGTTGAGGAATAAAACTTACAGAAGATAAACTTTATCCGTATCTGCATCACAACACAGTAGAAAATACAGACTATCAAAAATGATAGTTTCATGGACAGATACATGTATATTCGAACCTGGCCTTTTACAGTCAGTTAACGCCTTTGCCTCGGAAGATGGTTAATGTAGGAAAGAACATATTAATAATTTGATTATAATGCTTGTTACATTTTCAATTTCCACAGGCGTGATTCCGTTTTGTCAACTTAGGCTAAAACCACCTTTTTTCTGTTCCTCACTTCGCTGTTTTCAAAAGAAGATGATTATCCTAACTCATGTACAGCTGAGCTTCTGAGTTTGGCGACAGGCAGTAGTGCTCTACAGTGTCTAGTAATGCGATGTGAGTGGTAAGGACAGGGTATCATATTACATGATTTTGCCAGAATCTCCACATTTGGCCTAGTATTCACTCTATCGCCTTTCAAGATATTTTTTACACACCTTCTTGGCTATCTTTCGTTCTAACCACCTTCCTTGCTATCTCTCTTTCTTGCCACCTTCCCCGCTACCTCTCTTTCAACCAATGTCCATGGCTGTCTCTTTCCACTCACCTTCCTTGCTTCCTCTACCTCTCATCCCACAGGGGGCACATTCGTCTAAGGCGCCGAAATTCGCTGTGCAGAAACCTATGATTGTGGGTTCGAATCCCGATTATGTTTCTAAGTTTGTCAGCACCATACCCGTGCTCGTGGGTTTCACCGAAGTGGTAAACGTCTGAGACCTGCATCACTTCGGGCTTTCCTCCCACATTAGGCTGACACGCCGTGATATAACTGGAATATTGTTAAAAGCTTCGCTATACCCAACTCACTCACTCACTCCCCACATTCCTAGCTTCCTCTTTCTTTCTACCCACCTTCCGAGCTACATTCCTCTCTACCCATCTTCCAAATTATCTCTTCCTACCCATCTTCCCGGTTCTCTCTCTCTCTCTCTCTCTCTCTCTCTCTCTCTCTCTCTCTCTCTCTCTCTCTCTCTCTCTACCTACCTACATTCACAGCTACCTCTACCACTTGACCCACCTTCCTCTCTACCTACATTCACAGCTACCACTACCTCTCTACCCAGCTCTCTCTCTCTACCTACATTCACAGCTACCTCTACCCACCTTCCTCTCTACCTACATTCACAGCTACCACTACCTCTCTACCCAGCTCTCTCTCTCTACCTACATTCACAGCTACCTCTACCCACCTTCCTCTCTACCTACATTCAAACCTACCTCTACCACTCTACCCACCTTCCTCTCTACCTACATTCACAGCTACCTCTACCTATCTACCCACCTTTCCAGCTCTCTCTCTACCTACATTCACAGCTACCACTACCTCTCTACCCAGCTCTCTCTCTCTCTACCTACATTCACAGCTACCACTACCTCTCTACCCAGCTCTCTCTCTCTACCTACCTACGTTCACAGCTACCTCTACCTACCTTCCTCTCTACCTACATTCACGGCTACCACTACCTCTCTACCCAGCTTTCTCCCTACCTACATTCACAGCTACCTCTACCTATCTACCGACCTTCCCAGCTCTCTCTCTACCTACATTCACAGCTACCACTACCTCTCTACCCAGCTTTCACTCTACCTACATTCACAGCTATCTCTACCTATCTACCCACCTTCCTAGCTCTCTCTCTCTACCTACATTCACAGCTACCACTATCTCTCTACCCAGCTTTCTCTCTACCTACATTCACAGCTACCACTACCTCTCTACCCAGCTTTCTCTCCCAGTCCCAGCTATCTCTCTCTCTGTCCCCACTTTTTATCATAGACATATATAGATCTATATTGTCTTTGACACTACTCATACTGCTTGCTACATCTCTCTTCTACATTCCTAACGTCCTACGCACATTCAAGATGACTACTAGGATCTATTCTTGAATGCAGGATATTTCATTAAACTCCAGATCCTATGACTATGTGTCTGTAGCACGAAAAAAGTTGGGGGCATCAAATTTGCATGTATAACCTTTCAAAGAAGGCTCACGCAAGCAATAACAATGTAAAGGCACATCAATAGTTCACAACTATGCAGTGCTGAGTACTGGTAAGTCCCGTCAGTAATTATCTTATCATTGACAATATAAAGCTATTCAATATAAGAATGTCACATATATTATATATATGTTATTAATGGAGGGTTACAATACCTAGAGATAAGCATTCACCATAAATACCATAGCAAAAGTGAGAGGTTTTTAAATGCTTCCATTTTCAACATATACCAGTGAACAAGAATAATTGATGACTTTTTTCTAAAGTGAGTGAGTGAGTATGGTTTTACGCCGCTTTTAGCAATATTCCAGCAATATCATGGCGGGGGACATCAGAAATGGGCTTCACACATTGTACCCATTTTTCTAAAGAATTGCTCCTGGTTTTTTTCTTTCTGGTTTGGTTTGTTTGTCGTTTAACGACTCAGCTATATGACGGCAGTCAGTAAATCAACTAGTCTGGACCAGACAATCAAGTAATTGACACATTTACGCAAAAATCACTAAACCTGATGACCCGATCCATTTACTTGCCTCTTCCAACCAGCATAGGATTCAGGGGGCTAACAGCTGAAAGGGTAACGAATACCTATTGCCATTTCAATGTACTGTATGTGTCACTTTGTAACCAAAAAACAAAACATGAGTCAGAAAATAAAAGATACAACTAGAAATTACTTTGCTACATAAGGAAATACTTGGCGAGTAATGGCGACACTTAGTTATTTTCCAAGTTTATATATTTTGTGGGCTAAATTGAAAACCATAACACTAGGTGAGGTGAAATAGGGTTTAACATCACGTTCTAGGTTCTTACACTTATACAGCGACGTGCATGTATGTGTGGCTTCTTGTATAAGTCCAAAGTTATGCCTGTTAGTGCTAGCCCACTGAGATACCCTGCTCAGACACAATACAGATTCCAAGCAGGCCAATCCTTGTTTTATCTCGAATACCGAGCACCAGAGAGAGTAACAAGTCATTTCTTTTGGTATGACATAGCCAGGGATATCGAACCACCCACATGCCAATCTTTGGAGAAACACTCTATCCACACTAAAGTACTCATGGAAATGAAAAAAAACTATTTTTCTCAATTTAAAAATCGACACAAAGTGTTACGTAGCTGTAAATATGAAATAACAAAACAACTGGAAAAGTACTAGTCTGGATTTGCTAGTTTGATCTCAGTGAACAATACAAAATGTACTTTACAGGAGGTAATTTGTCGGCACTTTCAACATTCAAAAATAAAACTAAGTCCAAATTGACATAGCAGAATCAGACTATAGGCATTATGCACCTGTTCTCACCTTGATCTACTTGCACCTGGTTATGCCCTGTTTCACAATAGTCTGTTTTATTCACATTTATACACACTTTTACGTGTAAAAAGGCATAAAAACATTTGATACGCTGCATTTGTGCCACGGCCCAATTAGTACTAATTTAGTTGTTTGAATATTTACATATTTTGTATATTAACTGCATTTATTTAAGATCTGAGGTTGAAAAAACAGTTTGTTTTCATTTCCGTGAGTACTTTAGCATTAAAGCAGCAAGGAGTCTGTGGTAACAGCCATGGTTTCAGTGTCTGCAGTTTTACAATGTTATTTACAATCTCATTAAAATCAGATCTTAGTTCTCGCTATCGCTAAACAAAGATCTGCGGACATCCCATTATAGGCCACGCCAGAACGATCTTTCATCTGACCAATCAAAGCGTCGCTTACCAGATCATGAAAGTGACAGTCGAAATGTGTTTCTAATCATGCAACCTCGAAAATGTTAACACTGGGTATTCCGAATTACGGCCCGTACGGCTGATTCAAAATCAAAATTATCGTCTATCTCTCGCTTCCGTGGGATAAACATTTGAACGGAGGAGACGTTGAACAGTACATGGGAAGCTCTGCCATACATTCTCAACCATATATAAGACATTCCAGAATGTTCATTTGTTCAAAGTATAGACAAATTTAAGACTTAATATTCTGGTTGTTATTTTCACATGAAGAACACAGAGCATGAATGTTCTAAACTTCATTTATTCCTATTCCCATACAAGAATAATCAAATGGTAATCAAACTGGTGATAAATCTTGAAATGTCAACCCATTTCCAACATTTGACCAACACAAAATGTTACATGTACATAATTTATATATTACAACAAACTGAAAAATGGCTTATGATTTTTTATTTGTCTCTTCAAACTTCAAGTACAACTATTGTGTTTATATAACAGAGCACAGATTCACACTACCCAATCTTTCAGTGGGATCATTGTTGTCTCACTGACAGCCACAATTCAGTGCAAACTAAGTGTGCAGTCAGTCAACACGGCTGGGATACAAGTCTTCATTTACAAATCATGTCACTGTCTGGCTGGAGTTGCCTCCCTTAATGTCCACCATGCTCATCCTTTTTGAAAATAAACTTCTGAGCTAATAATGTGATGACAACAGCTGGGAAAGCCCACTTGAAGCCCTTTCCGACACTTTTCATTGCCGCCCTTCCTACTCCTTGGAAGTTGTCAGGGTGATAACGCCACACTTCATTTCTGAAAAAAAAACATAACATGAAAAAACTGAAGTTTGATGTTACTGATTGACTATTTCAAAACATTGTTTAACTTAAGTCACTCACTGACATTGACATTAATAGGCAAAAGGCATCTTAGTCAGTGTTTAAGGGGGGACCTGGCCTTGTGAGTTTTTTGGTCTTGTATTTGAATCATTGGACATCTAAATTATAACTTTTTAATGTTAGATTTAAGAAAAATAAACAGATTTTCATCATTAATTTCTAACACAAATGAACAGGTCATATGTCATACCATCACGTAAGTGGACCAGTGTGTAGTATTCCACACCCTGATCCACATTCAATTATCTATCTAGTTTGTTGAATATTGCATCTATGATGTCTACTGTCTAACTTACGGTACTTTCTGTCGGTATTGACAGCTTTTTATTATGCATAATTTGTCATCACTTCATGAGTAAGACATGGGTGATGAGACATACAAGTTTAAGTAGTTAGGGCACTCAAATGACACACATACAATTACTAAAGAGATTACAAGATACAAGAAAAAACATTTAACATTGGTTATTAAATATTATAACACTAGTCCTTCAGAGCTAATGTTAAACATACAGCTTAAGAGAAAACTATGTAACAACTGAGTTGATAAAATGTACATATTTCAGCGTTGCCAAAGTGCCCAATAGTTAAGGTGTCATAAGGACTAGTAGAAATTTGCCATGTTTAAGGGCAATGTTATCATTATAAGGACTAGTGGACGAAATTTGTTAGTTTCTACCACTGTATTTACAGTATCAAGTTAAAAGGAAATAAAAGGAAAGCACAGGGAAGATTCATTTACGATATTTACACTTAGAGCATTTGCATATGAGGCTTGACCTGTTCCTAAGAAACTTGCAGAAATCTATATGATTCAGATTTTTAAAACTGGCAGGCAATTCCAGATCCTAATGGCCCCATAAGCAAATGAATATAGCCTGAACTTCGAAGTTGTTACCCGGGGAGTAAGTTCCTGTCGGAGGGATTTGGTTGGCTACTTTAAACTTATCAAATTTGGAATATACACAGATAAAACTTTACTAACAAGTTTGAATGTATGTCTTTGCTACGGTAATATTCAATGTATTGACAAAGATAGGTTCTGTGTTCAATTTCACAATTGTGCAAACTGAGTCACAAGAAGATAATAATGAGAAGTTCTCTTGAATCATGAAAAAATGGTAAACACTGTTTATGTTGTGTTTATCATGTTTATCATGTTTATCTTGGATACCTGCAGGCTCATATGTTCTCTCTCATCATATCACGTATATAATCAAGGTAAATTACTAATGTATGCCTCAGTTTTGATTTATAGTTAGAACTTGGCTGGCATTTGTTTAAATATCATGTCTATAAGCCCTCACTGTTTAATGTTGGAAATGTCATGGTTCATTTCACTATCTACACGATATAAAACTTCAGCTGTTAATCTCAATGTACTCTCATCTTAACCTATCTACATGATCTAGTTAAGCCAAAACATTTGGAATAAAATATTTGGATTCAAAAAGCATTAAAAGAAATGATATTAATCATGGGAATAATTCACTTCACTTCCATGGCTTTCAATCTGCGCTACACAGAGGATCAACTCGGGCTGCCAGCTTGAGTGCATGAGTAAGGTCTAAGACATTTACCACTTTGGTGAAACCCACAAAGCTTGAGAATGGAGCCAACAGTTGCCTGCTTGAAACTCAGCTAAGCTAATATGTTAACCTTATTAGCCAACATTTTACTACAGATCACGGTCACAATCACAAATAATTGGTGCTCATGTACCTATGATCAGCACCCATTTGTTTACCTTGATGCTCATGTGCTGTAGCCATTTTTCTCCACAAAATTAAAAAACTTGATAAAATGTTACAGATTGTCCTCAAATTACAATGGATTGATTCTTTAAAAGAGGTGAGAGATGTAGCCCATACCCTAACTCCCAACTAACCCAAAGCTTCATTAAGGAGTACCAAACCCTCAGGATCATAAAGGGGTGTTTGATTGGCAAGGGCTTGTACACTAAGAATCATGAAAGAGTGTTTGATCAGATAAGGGGACCAAACATTGAAGATGCTTAATCAGAATGGGGATCCAAGAGCTAAGGATAGACTTAGACTTAGGGTGTCCTATCCTAACTGAGGTTCGAAGTGGGGTGCAAGATCAGTGAAGCAAGAGCCAACTGCCGTCACCTGGAGTCATTTAGAGTGAGTGAGTTGGGTTTAACAGTATTCCAGTCATATCACGGCGTGTCAGCTTAATGTGGGAGGAAAGCCCGAAGTGATGCAGGTCTCAGACGTTTACCACTTCGGTGAAACCCACGAGCACGTGTATGGTGCTGACAAACCTAGAAACATAATCGGGGCGAACCGGGATTCGAACCCACAATCATAGGTTTCTGGGAGTCATTTAGAACCATAGCTCGGAAAACTTCATTCTTGCATTAATCTTGATGCAGGCATTGTCAACAAAAGTAATCTAGTCAATTGCCAACTTTAGAAGTAGGCTATATTCATGGATGTTGACCATATTGATTACATTGGAAGCATCTTGTGAAAACCCATAATCTGCATTGGAAGAACACAAAACTTAAAAAACGTAGAATAATTCCCCGCAGGCCTACATGAAGCATACCTTTACATTTTGACATGTTTATATAATGTGTTGCAGTTAATTCTGTGTTGTTTCTCACCGTATCCATGGATCCTTCAAGCCTCTGGCGGCCAATAAACTCCGCAGTTGTTCTAATTCTTTTATCCCTTCAACTTTATACTGTCTCCAGTCAGGTATTTGGACTTTCCCACCGCCTCCCATACCGAAATTTGACTGGAATCGGCAGCCTTCGTGCGGTCACCTTTCGTTCACCTTGCCGCCGGAAGTGAACGACGCGGTACTTGGTAGATTATAAAATGCCGAACATAAACATACGGAAATGACTATTGTTGATAAAACACCACATTGCTGATTACATTAAGAGTTAAACAACAGACAAATGGTATATATGAATTCGTGAAAAGGAAGCTGATTGTATCATTTATCATTTGTGTTCGCAAGATTTCACGCACTTATTTTATGTAATATAAAAGAAGGATCGAATGAAAACGGAAAAAGGAACTAACGAGAAACCTATGTAATAACGGTGTTAAGTGCAGCAATTACCAGGTAGTTTAAAAAAAATGTGTACATTAATTTCATTTCACATATCTCACCCAAATTTTTTTAGGTATTAAATATCTGAGATAATACCAATGTAAGGATTACAACTGGGCAGTACATACCGGTGGTTGATAGAAAGAGCTACAGACCACAGACATGGCAAGCAGGCTGTAAAGTTTTCAGCTGAAGAATTCCCACAGCAGAAAATCTATCAGCGACGCATCCTTAAAAAAAATCTTATTTTAAAAAGATATACCCACATAACAGGCTGAAACATCCCCCGGCCAGTTCTTCCCAGAGAAAGTAATTGCCTTGGCCAGATCAAATCCTGGGCCAGTTATTCTCCACTGTGGACAAAGCTTCCCCTACAGGTCTTCTAACATGTATTGACACAGTAAAGTGTCTTTCATGGCCAAGCCTCTCCCATTAAGGATTTTCAGGAAAAACATATTTTAAATATTTCTCATAATTTTTAAACTTATATTCATCTTCAAAAATAATTCAGATATTGTTCCACAATGTTGAAATGTTTCTATTTTTATATTTATTGAATATGAGGATGTTGATGCAATTTGATGATTGACAAGTGCTAAGCTTCTATGCTGTAAGAGATGTTCATGATGTTTCTGTGAAACAAAATATGTGTATTCATTCCTCTGTACTATAAAATAGTTATAATTGAAATGGCAATAGAAATATTATGTAATTCAAGTGGTTTTGAAACCGAGTCTCCTTCCTTGTTCTCTGACTAAACAGGTCATTATTAGTCAAAATACATATATGCAAGATACAACAGTTGCTTACTTCAAACACATGTCAATTGCATGAAATATGATTTAAACTTATACAAAGTATGTGAAGTAGTAAATGCGATGGTTTCTGATACTCATGCTATGTTGTTTCCATTGTCCGGCTATTAAAATACTCCGGCTATTGTTATCACCATGTATGTTATATAAAAACTACATAATTTGTCAAATATGATATTGGGCATCTTGATGTATTGGTTGAGGTTCTGCAGGGGGTCGCTGGGTAAATAATGGTGAAGACTGTGTATTATGTGCTGGCATTGCTCAATTTCTTTATGAATGAAATTTATAAGTATCAATACTAATATCCTTCCTGTATTTGATATCTAGATTTGATAGTACATTATACTCGGAGTGTTTGCATGCATGTATAGAAATATGTTTCACTTAGTTATTAGAAACCACTGGCTAGAACACAATGTTGTTGTAAAGGTTGTCCATCCCTTGATCCAGGTGGTATTAAATAACCTCCCAAGATAAACCTTGAGTTGTTTGTAATCCTCCAGCAGGAATCCATTTCAGCTTGATGGAGTCAGAGTTATTAGTTCAGTTGTTACCACGGTAACAAGACATCTGTGTATTTCTTCATCCATGTCCATAAATGTGTGTCGAGAATTTAACGCAGAAAAAAACCCAACTCCGTCCTGAGGGCCGCACAATATTCATTATACCTACAACGTATCAAGAGAAATTATGGGTGTCTGTCATGTCATATATGAAGCATGACCGCTGTCCACCTTTTCAGGATCTAAAGTAATCATCTACAGTACAGTACAGTACAGCATATCATTATATTACAGGACCCTCACATTGCCTGCAAGTACCCTTAAAATGAGCATTTCTGATTAAATTCAATGTTTTTATACTTATCTGACGCTACACCTATAGCACTGTGTAAAAACATGAGCATTTCTGATTAAATGTAATGTTTTTAAACTTACCTGATGCTACACAGTGCTATAGGTGTAGCGTCAGGTAAGGTAAAACATGAATTATTGGTGTCCCTGGACTCCCCCATTCTTGTTCGTCAAGGTAAATCCCTGTCGGACCATATATTTTGTGTGTGTGTGTGTGTGTGTGTGTGTGTGTGTGATATTTCTCAACTAATCTAACAACAAAGAAGCCCTCCCCATGTGTGTCAATTTCTTGCAACCCTTCTACTTGTTCATTTTATTCAAAGATGGTCTTTTACATCCAAGTAGTTCATAAAATCACTAATGTCCATTAGTGGCCAAAATTGTTTAAGAACTGTCCTTTTATAATAGCTCTCCCTGTGAAGCTGCCATGCCTTTCTGCAATACCTTACTTTGGCACAAATATCTATTGTAAGAGTAACATTGTTGCAAAAGATTCTCGGTAAAAGAGAAAAAATCAACCTTTGGCCAATTTCACTTATGACAATGCAAATAGTGACGCCATGAGCCAACTTGGATCTTCTTATGGTCATACATTCAATCAAGGTTTAAGCCATGTGCCCACAGTGGTGTTCTTAGGAACGAGACTTTTTCAACCTATTGTAGATTTGAATAAAAAAAATAATTTAAAATAAAAAAAAAAAATCACTGATTTGAACAAGATATCTACATAAGGAAACTGGACCCGTGAAGACCCGTGTCTTCAGCAACCCATGCTTGCTGTTGCTTTTTAAATCATTTTACAGACCGCCATCATATAGCTGGAATATTGCCGAGTGCGGCAATAAACAACCAACCAACCATAAGGAAACTGCATGTCAAATTTCAGTTTCATCAGTCAAGCAGTATCGGAGGATTTCAAGGTGCTACCCCTACTTTCTTGGCATCCCACATACCACTTAATTTGTCTCGGCATTCAATTTATGAACTCTTGAGTCATATCAGTGTACACAAATTAGACTGGGATTGTTACATAGAATGCAAGACATCCCTGCTCATAAGCTTGGGACCAAACATAGTCACCCTTTGCAAGAAAAATAAAGTTGAAAAATAAATTTCAACACTGAAATATTGGCATCCGTGTACCAGGTAAACATTTTTGTGGCATCCAGCTTACTGCACTGCAACATTGGGAATTCTGCTGAACAGGGCTCAATATCTGAAGTACCAAAATGTTGGCACCTGTATTTAAGAGCATATTAAATGAGAAAAGTTCTTTCACTAAACAGCAAAGGGCTAACTGGCAAAAAGAGCAAAAACACTGGCTTGTTGTCCGTGGAAAGTTTAGGCCTGCTTGAACTTGTTTTGCCATTTTCTTCTGTACCAACATGGTGGAACTTTGCCTGGACAATCAGACCAACAGGTCCTCCCAATGTCGCTTGAACCAGTTTTTAAAGCTAATTTTGGTTTTCACAGCAAGCTGCAACTACATGTGAACACCTAATTTTTGCCGATTCTCCCCAATGTATGCAGATAAATTGTCTAAACATGGTGGCATGCTAGTGTGCGGTGCAGTTCCAATATTTTGCACCTACTTTGATTTTGATAGCCCATGACCACATTTTCACTTTGATGACAGTAACTATTATGCTGTAAAGGTTGAATCAAGATCAAATTCTGAACATACATGTTGGATCCACTATGAACTACACGTATGCCAAATTTCAATAAATTCTCTAATGGTCAATAAATGTATTAGTGATGCTCGGTGAGTATCGGTACAAATATGTTTGTATCATGTATGGTACAGACTTTGAAACCACAAAACCACAGTTCAGTGAATAAGCAGGCTAAAAAAGTGTTTGCAAGTTCTTGCGCCTTCACTGCCAATTCCAATCATGCATTTCTGGCCAAACGTGCATATGAAGTTATAATAAAACAATATCCAATGCCCCATAAGAAAATGATATGCAAATCTGTCTCTTACAGCCAATCACATGCTGCACATGTCTGCACGGTGGTATGGTTGTAAGCAGACAGGCATGTTTGCATTTATGTAGCAAACATAATACACATGACCTTCATCGTGACCTTGACTGTCAGTCTTTGCTGATTGAGGCCCTGCAACTACAGCAAAGCATTTTCTAGTTCAGCTGTGAACACACTCTTCTCATATCAGGACCTTTCAGGTTGAAATTCACCCCTACTGACATGACTGACATGAAAAAGGAAAGCATACTTGATATGCCATCCCTGACTTGTCCTAACTGTGTGTGATTTCAGAAACAAAGTGCAGTGGTACTAACAATGAGTGAATGAGTTGGGTTTAGCGCTGCTTTTAACAGTATTCCAGTTATATCACGGCGTGTCAGCTTAATGTGGGAGGAAAGCCCGAAGTGATGCAGGTCTTAGTACTAACATTGTGACATGGGGTTTTGAATTATGTTTACACCTGTATCAACTGTATTGAAGATATAAGAAGTAAATCAAACCCTGGATCCATTTTCTTCGGAATCCCACAAGGGAACGTTCACTCAGATAGGTAGGCAATGTGCTGGCCATTAGTAATTCTACAATAAAGGACTTATCTGTCACTCTACAGTGGAGGGGAGCCTAATGAGCTGTTCCGATCATGCTGATCATGTCACACTACCATTGCCTCTGTGAAACTACCACAAAACACACACCTTACTTTAGTACAAAACAGTAAATAGCGCATCAGTAGTGACAAAACAACAAACAAACATACATATATATTTATTTCCAAGTATGTATAATGTTATTGTATTACTCATGGCACACACACACACTGCTTTCAGCACTGTCTACAAAATGTTTATCAACCTCAAGTCTACAGAGGCTAAAGAATGCATCTCTGACTTACTCTAACACTGATGTGTTCAATTCATACAAAATCACAAACAGATCTTGAATATTCAATCTATATCATCGTGACATATTACTCTTAATAAGAAACATTTTCGATCTGCACCGAAACAAGTGAAAGAAAGAATTATGTAATCATCTAAATACATGATTTGATTTTGTGATGGAACAAGTCCAGAGAAAAAGTCCTTCCAATATGAATCTACATCATGATGGCTAAATGATCAAATATTTTCAAAAATGTTCCTGGGGTCCCTAGAATCCTGAAGAATTCTTCTGGGGATACACAAAAAGTTGACATCAGTGTCCACCTCTTGTTATACACAGTCTTTGTCTGTCACAACATTTACTGGGGCAGAGCCAGGAGAGTCTGCTGTCCACTGGGGAGGTAGATGACGTTCCTGGTCCGGGACAGCTGGTAGGCAATATCTTCTGCAGCTTCTATCTTCCTCAGTTCCACCAGACCCTCTCCTGCCTCACCGAATGCCTTTGCCAGGAGATTAGCAGCACTGGAATCACCCTCGGCTGAGATGACGGCAGCTTTCTTCTGTTGTTCAGCCTGGGAAAACAAAGGGGTGAGTTGTTGTTTTATGCTACAGAAAGCAATGTCCCAGCAGCCAACATATAATGGAGTCTGAAACTTGAACTGAACACGAACAATGATATACGTGCCTCCTAACCACTATATCTGAATTTGAAAACAATCTCAAGGCTGAATAAACTAATTAACTTAGCAGATAAAACTTAAAAAGCTATTACCCCCGTAGCTCTAAAATGTACTAAAGAAGCCATATGGTGGTCTAGAAGACTAAAAACTTTGGGCACAGACTAACTCGTCACACAACTATCCAGGCTGAAATAGTCACCATCCCATCCCATCCTCATTTGTCAGTTCTTACAACAAGAAGGATCCACACGAGGCCTGACTGCTCAACTGGGAATGTATCTTACCTTCTCTACAATATATCTGGCTCGCTCGGCATCCTGCTGGGCAACCTGCTTCATCTCAACAGCTTCAGTGAACTCTTTGCCAAATGTTAAATGTGTCTGGAAACAAACAGAAAAGACATGCTCTACTGTCATCTCAACTTGTTATGAATGTTCAGGCATGAATCGTGTGTACTATGTGTACAATGTGTGTAAAAAGGCACCTATTAGCTGGGTGAACTGATTTTGGGGTCTAAAGGAATGTTGACAATTGAACATAACAATATTGTTTCAAATACAACATGTACAACAGATAATATGATTGTTTAATTGTTTTGCAATTTTCATGATTATTTTCCAACTTTGAACCAGGTTACTGTCAACATCTGATGAATTTACCCCAGAACTGTCAGGTTCTTTAGCATTAGCAGGAACAATGCTTGATGAAGTTGCAGATGAGCTTGAATGTGTACCAATAAAAAAATTCTCATATCTTCTTGTTTTGCCATGCTTTGAAAATACTTGACCTTGACCTTAAACAATACTGGAGTGAGTGAGTGAGTGAGTTGGGTTTAACGCTGCTTTTAACAGTATTCCAGTTACATCGCAGCTAGTCAGCTTAATCTGGGAGGAAAGCCCGAAGTGATGCAGGTCTCAGATGTTTACCACTTCGGTGAAACCCACATGCACGGGTATGGTGCTGGCAAACCTAGAAACATAATCGGGGCGAACTGGGATTCGAACCCACAATCATAGGTTTCTGGCATGCCGCAGGGACGCAACTCTGCACAGCGAATCGCGGCACCTTAGACGTATGGGCCACCCTTGACCTCTTAAGCAATACTGAGACAGAGCACTGCAGACACGTAAGATTTTGCATACTCAGAAGATACCAGTCATAGATGGAATCCCTCAAATGAAATAAAAATACCACTGAGAGAGTTGTAGTTTTGCATTTTGTACATGTGGTATGTCCTGTTTTAATTTTTATGAGCACAGGACAAAGGACTTTGCATCCAGTAACTTCCAAATGCAACAAGTAACATCTCTAAAGACAGTGAAGTAAGTGAACATTCTCTTCAGTCAGCAATATTGCAGACTTATGGAGGGCTTTAAGGAACTGAGTCTTGGCCTGGTAAAAAAGGGGTTCATTTAATGATCAGTGATTTACCTGGGTTATATATTTTGGGGACCAGGGGTATTCAAAACTGTTAATTGTAGGTGGGTTAAAGGTGAGGTGAGGTGAAATTGGGCTTAACGTCACGTCCAAGATTATTGCACTTATATAGCGACATGCATGTACGTGTGTGTGTTTGTGTGGCTGTTTGTACTAGTCCGGGCTGATGCCGATTTATAATGCTAGCTCACTGAGATACCATTCCACAGTTAAACATGAATACCCCACTCAGACACAGGATACTGACTCCGAGCCGACCAGTCCTTGTTTGTTCCAAACTGAATACATTCAACCACATGTGACATGACATTGGGCATTGGCCGAAAGTTAAAAATATATCAGGCATTCCCCAACTGAAACAAATTTACAAGTGCTTGAGCTAGAAGACTGCTAACCGTTCAACTGTGTATTGTATTTTTTAAATGATTACAAAAAGGAAATTAAATTACGGAAAAGCAATATTCATTTCTAAACAAGCATACCAATTTTCTGTATCCAAGCGGATGCACTCTGTATTTTTTTCAATTTTTATGTCTTCTGTTAATTCTTTCCTGATCAAAACCAATGTCTGAATATGACGGTAAGACTCACCAAGCTGACAGTGCAACCAGCATGTGCTCATTTTGTCAGCTCTTTTGACAAGCATGATGTACGAGGGGGCTGCCCCTGAATCCATACCAGCACTGGTTGTAAAATTTGAACTACCTAATAACTGTCAGGGGATACTTACCAAGGAGATGTCATCAAGTATCATTCCGAACTGGTGTGCTCGTTCTGTGAGTTCCTCACTGACTCTCTGTGATACTATCTCTCTCTGTGTGATCATCTCACTGGCATCAAACTGAGCCTGAAAAGGACATTTCGGGAAAGGACTTCATTCAATGTTTGACAAGCAACCATTCTACACTACAAGAATAGCCAGCATGTTCTCTATCAAGCAGCCACGAGGGTGATTAACTTCTTGCACATGAGGTTAGGAAAAAATCAGAGTAAGAACATTATAAACTCTGTATGTTAAAAATGTTTGATCCACGAAAGTCAGACATTTCAGGAATGATAAAAAAACCCAACTAATTTGTTACAGAAAATATTGGAAATAAATAACCAAAACATGGATACATTGACCGAAATTGATTGTGTTAAAAAAACAACCCAGCCCAATTCCTCTATCCCAAAAAGCAATAGAATACTAAACAGGTGGTCCCTTAAAAGCCATCATTCCATTGGTACATGGTAACTTATTTATCACTCAAATATATCAAAAATTATTTATCATTATTTTCAATCCTTGCTATATCAAGAAGTGACATGGACACAAATATCTGAAGACCACTCACTACAACAGCTTTCAACACTTCATTAGTAATGGATGGGAGGACTCGCTCATCATAGTCAACGCCTATGTTGGAGAACAGCCTCGGCAGCTGATCCACCTGGGGACGGAACAGGATCCTCAAAGTGATGTTGACATTCTGCAAGTCTGTAACCATGGAAAAATGACATAAATGAGCAAATACAAATTGTTTATTGTAAAAATATTATTTTTACTTATCCTAACTCACACTAATGGCATATCTCTTCTCATTACTTAAAGAAAGTGGAAACTTGCTGTGCTGTGTTCTCTGAGAACAGAAAAACATATCACCCAAACACACCCCTCTCATGCGCAGGCGCACCAGAGCCAGTGACCAACCCATCTGACTCACCACTCTCTCATTTTCTTATCCTCTTCATGGCCGAAATCATCAGGGAGAGCAGGGGACTGCTGGGTGGGTGCCTCGGGGTATGAATCACGATAAGGAAATTAACATGATATTTTTACCCTAAAAAAATCATCATTTACCTTATCCTGACTAATGCTAATTGCTAGAATGTCACAGTTGGCGGTGGGTCTGACCTGGATATCTTAAAGATATATGCATAAAGCCCTGAGCGGGCAGAGAGACATGTCTTCAATGTCCTCTGATCCTAGAATGGACAAAACCGCTGGGACATGAAATTGTCTATCTGCTTGTCCATGAAGCTGGTTCTTTGCGATTATTATTAAACATATTTTATTGTCCAAAAAGATAAAGGGATTGGGCACAAGGGCACCAGTTATTACCGCCTTCTCCCTTTTGCGTGAAGTCCCCATCTCAAGCCGAGAAGGACCGATACATGTTTACCACTGTTGAACCTGGTTCAACTGAAGTTGATTGCAAGCATCTCTGACATTCTGGCTGTAGTAACTAGAACAAGAATAAATAGGGTCTTTTGTGTCAGATGTTCAAAATCAGCTTGTTGTAATGGTTCATAAACATTGCTGGTAAGATGTTTCAGCACTATGTTTAGATCCCAAGCTGGGGCTCAAAATTTCTTCTGTTGATCATCAAGTTTGTAGGATCTCTGCAGGGCTTTCAGTTCCGGAAATTTTTTAAGTTTTTCTCAGTTATTCATGGTTAAGACAGAGCTGACAGCTGCCAAATAAGATCCTCATGTTGAACCCTTGAGGTTTCTTGTGCTTTGCAAATGACATAAGAAATCTGCTACTTGTGAAGTAGCTTGTGCTGCTTTGAACACTTTTGATCTCGCGAACTGGTCCAATCTCTTCCACTTGTCATCATACAATTTCAGTGTGAATCTACGAAGTGCTAAGTGAGTGAGTGAGTGAATATGGTTTTACACCGCTTTTAGCAAAATTCCAGCAATATCACGGCGGGGACACCAGAAATGGGCTTCACACATTGTACCCATGTCGGGAATCGAACCCGGGTCTTCGGCGTGATGAGCAAACGCTTTAACCACTAGGCTACCCGACCGCCCAACGAAGTGCTAAGGAAACGTCTTTAGCAGCCCTGGTCGAGTATCCTCGTCTTGTGAGGCTATTCGTCTTGGATGAACTTGTTTTGAGTGTGGATGACGAAGTAGATTTGGCAAGTTTGGTAGCTTTATTAGAATGTGTTTTCCTGCTATTCTGAGGAGGTCTGGGAACCATACTACTGGCCAATAAAGTGCAACCAAAATCAGTTGCAGGTTCATTGTGTGAATGATCTTCTGAAAAACAAGAGGTATCAGTGCTGGTGGTGGGAATACATATACTCGTGAAGTCCTTCCCATGATATTGCCAGCACATCGTTGACTGGGTTAACAATTTCAGGTTGAAATTCAGTTGAAGTTTAGTAGCTCTATCTGTTGATGAGCCTGCACCCCATCGTCATGGTAGGGGTGCAACAGGTCTCCTTGTGCAGAGAGGCCACAATTGGTTTGATCTCGCACATAAATAATCACTGGGTCGTTGAAATTCCAAACAGCTGGAGACCGCAGGACTATCAATTGGTAATGTTGCCCTTGCATAGGAAACGAAGATATTTATGAAAGCTAGATGGGGATGTGAAGGTAAGCATCCTGATAATTGATCCTTACTAGATGCTTACCAGATAATCTTCCTAGTTTTATCATTTGCTTTATCTGTTGTAGATGGATCATTCTGAACTTGTCTGGCTTTTGAAGATCCTTTTTGTTGAATTCCTTCATGCTGTAGACAAAACGACTTTGAGTTTGCGTTCTATTTGGAGATCAAGAAGATCAGTGAATAGAACTTCGAAATAAGGACATCTGATTGTACTATCTCTGCTGCTCCCTTTGTAAGAAGTGTGTTCATGGCTTCTGCTTACAGTGAACTATATTTATAACGAACACGCTTATAACGAACTGACGGATATAACAAACTATTTTTTGGGTCCCGCCCATTTGCTGTGTATATTCCGTACATTTGCTTATAACGAAATTTGGTTATAACGAATTAAAATTAGTGGTCCCTTTGAGTTCGTTATAACCGTAGTTTACTGTATTTGGATTGCAGTGTCTCTGGATATTGGACAAATAGCGGATTAAGAGAGAGGTTCCTTGCGTACAGCTGGAATGTAACCCTTCCTCAAAATGTTCAATACGAACAGGTTCTCCAGGATGTCCCAATAACTCTATCATCTTGCCAGTCCTTCACCTACAGTTGATTGCTGAACATGAACAGCTGGAGGTGGAAGTTCCTAGTTGTTCAACAGCCCCCCTTCAGCGACAGGCGTGCCTTGGCCTCGACCAGACTGATCACGTGGTCTGTCTGAAGGTCTTGACTCCTTGGTAACCAGTGGATCTCTTGTCATTAGCTTTCTGAAACCCAGAGAAGCAGCTTTTGAACTGCATTGCCTGTACATTGAGTTTATAGTTTGAACTGACTTCATGAGCATTTGAGTACTGTACCACATCTTTGTTAGTGCTATGACTGTGACCATCAAAGATGGTAGAAGAATCCCATGATAGGTGCAGAAGCAGCTTTGTACACAGGTCAGTCTGATGAGACTTGGCTATTAAGCCCTGGCGATGAAGAAGCCCGAGTCCAGCTAAGATTGAACTTACATTATCAGAAACAAACTCTTGATTCTTCTTTTATGCTACCATTGTCGATAGAAACATCATTTCCCGGTCGGTCTGGGGATCTGTTAGGGTCGTTTACATAGCTTCATTAATGGAGCGTGACATGTTAAGGCCAAAGAAGGCCAAGGTGGTATCCAGCTGACCTAGCTTCATATCGTCGACATGATACGTCTTACTTTTAGAATCAGACATTAGTGACTAGTCTTCGTCAATCTATGGAGCCCGGAGAAAGACGTTCATGGGGTGTAAAGGAAACTTCTTAGCGTTGAAGTATTGAGGTCGTAATCCGCGAGTCCGAGCAGCTTCGGCAAAGGAATCGTCCAAAGTTTTTCCTATCTGAGAAATCACCTTAATCAGAGGGATGGTCAAGGTGTCAATGTCTTCACCTTTGATACAGTAAGGATCACCCAGGATAGTATCCCTGGAGGGAAAGAAACGTGAAGTCCATCGCCAACCCATGCCAGTAATATGTGATCTTCATAATGGAAGAAAATTCTTCGGCAACGTGACTGAGAAGTAGGCGCTGAAGGAGTAGGCTGCATGCAGGGTCTGCCTAAAGTTGTTGCATGGCCATCTCCCCGAGGCAAGAGCGTTAACTGACTTTAAAAGTCCAGTTTACACCCTTGCCGAACCAGGCTGGAATTCCTGGGCTCGATCATAGCGCCACCAGTGGCTATTACGAGATATGTCCATTCTATGCCTCTCCCATATGGACCAATCAGATTCCACCTCTCGTATCACATGCATTTGCTTCAAACAAAATGGTGGCGCCCAGTCAAGACGATGTGGTCTACCACCAAGATCTATTTGGTGATAAAACGGTTCTTACTTAGCGAAGTACATCAAATCACGTGAGCACCTTGAATAAAAACATGAAAAGATTTGGAAAATATCTGTTGACAACGAGTTGGCGATGCACATGCTTTGCAAATCCTGCAATTTACCGAACACTGCATGACAGTTTACAAACTGGATTTCGATTTCGGTGCGCGATTTTGATTGGACTATGCATTGACTCATTAGTCCAGCCAAAATCTAACTAGTTCGGCAAGGGTGGAAACTGGACTTTTATAGTCAGTTTACTCTCTTGCCTCGGGAAGATGTTGCATGGCCTGAAGAACCTGCAGCATAATACGGGTTATCAAACCAGTGTTGGATGACAGAGTAGGTGTAGAACTCTGTGGGAAGAATGCAGGCTGCATGAAGGTATTGTAGCGCGAAGGTCTGAGGCGAAAGTACAGTGTGGTGACAACAAGTGGAACAGATGGGGCGAGGATCACGATCTGAGATACAATGGCAACATTTTGCACACGTTTTCATCATGAAAAAAACCGGGGGGATATTCAAAGAGCTAAAAATGTACAATTACAGCCAAATCCAAAAATAAATATAACGGATGAATATGATAAAGGGTGTTAGGAAAAGGTCATCCGTATTTCAAGCGTAGAAAACAAATTCCCAACTAGCTTGTTGGCTTAAGAGTGATGAGTCAGACGGGTTGGTCACAGGTTCCAGTACCTGCACTTGTGAGATTTTTCAGCTCTCTTGGAACTCAGCACAGGAAGTTTCCACTACCTTTTGGGAATGAGAAGAGATAAGCAATTAGTATGAGTCGGGATAAGATAAATGTAAATCATTCAAAGTGGGTCAGTCAGGTCACAATGGCCTACCATTAGCCAGGACTGAAAACACTTGTTCCTCATATTTTGTGTCCACTCTTAACACAATGTTTGCTTGTTGTTTAACACTGCATTCCAGCTGCATGTCACCTAACTGGACATAATCAAGCCTAAACCTGACAAACCAGTGGTTGATATAATGAGCAACACCCCATACCTTGAGTTACAATGACAGGCATTCAACTAAGTCACCATGTCTGAATTAATGTTCAACAAACTTCAATTTCAATTTTGCGAAATTTGTATTGAACAGTAAGCTTATAATTACAGACATTCTAAGTCTCTACCTACCTTTGCTTCCTGTGATAACTGGAATATTGCGGGGTCTTGATCGAACATCAAAGATGATTGGTTTCTGTACCCATGGAATGAGAAAGTGAGTTCCCTCTCCTACAACAACATCTCTCACTCCTTGGAAGCGATCGAAAATAACAGCCCTGTGTCCACCATCAACTGAAAAGAGTGAGTGAGTTGTGTTTAACACTGCTTTGAACAGCATTTCAGTCGTGTCACAATGTGACAACTTGATGTGGGAGGGTAGCCCAAAATGATGCAGGTCAACACCAACAAGCATATAAGTAGAAACATGAATGCTGATGAATCCGGACATCCAAGTTTACAGATGAAAGAACTTTGTCTGGCTTGTACATGTGTACCAAATTGTAAAAAAGGTGAAGCCATTTTATCATGTTTTAACTTCAAGTCTAAGGGATCATTGAAGATATTTATGAAATTGACTAAGTTTGAGACAAGTGCTGATATTACACAATGGTGCAAATAAGGATGCTGCCTTTGCATATAATAAAGAAGCATAGAGTTACCAAGATTGAACTATGAGCCTCTGACCATGCTGCATGACCGGTTTGTTCCATGAAAAGTGAAAAAGACCAACCCCCAGCCCATCTCCTTTTGAAAATTACCCCCAACCCAGCAAGTAACCCTAAAAGGTCTAAGGACAAACAATATTGTTTGTTCATGTTTAACGCTTTACTCAAAAAACTTCAGCTGAACGTTGGCCAATAAACGTGCTAAAATCACCAAGCCTGGCCAACTGCTCCATTATCGTCTGATATGATCATCATAGGATGTTGGTGACCTCTTCCAACCCAGAACCTCAACAAAGAGCATCACTTTAAAGAAAGCATCAGCGGTTCCTTAGATGAGTCTCAGTCACAGGACATCAGAACTCTAGTAACATCATGTGCTTTCATTTTGTCTGGACCAGACAAACCAGTGATGGGTACTCGTGTATTACATTCAAGGTATTATAAATCCAGAATCCACACAAGACAATGTATTTAATACAGTGGGCTCTGTCCAAACTGGACTCCTAACTAATCCAGATCTCTGTCAATACCAGACCAAATTTACACTTTTGAATTTACTACAATCACTCATAAATAAAATCTGTCTAATTCCTTTACTCCAAATTATGGACTGAAATTACGAAACTGGACGACTCCCTTATGCAAAAAGATACCAACAGACTTATAAGGAAAGTGTCACTCTGTAGTAAACCTTTCCAACATCTCGCTTACATGTCTAGGAAAATGTTTGTGTTAACAAACAATGTGATTACAACATAGATTGATCATGTTGATATCAAAATGGCCTTGAGTTTTCAGTAACATACATCATATTACAAGCTATAGGCCAAACTTTAATTCTGAATAGTTTGCATAACCGGGAGTAGTGCACTTTACCGGGAGTAGTGCACTTTTTTAAATCCAATTAGTGCTGAGGGGGCTAAGAACGCTTCGCCAGCTTACCTGCTTGGCTAATTAGTGCATTAATAAGCCGACGCTACCACTGGACCAAGAGCGCCATCACATGTAACTAGTGCTCGTTTAACGAGTCATTTGCACCTCATTATCATGCCTGCACAGTAAACAATGATATGTGCATGCGCGTTACTGATGTCACACCTCTCCATTCATCCATCAAAATGAGTCACCAATTGAGCTACAAAATGTGTTAAAACAAACTATACTCTAATAGGATTACCATCATTGGATTATTGGAAACACTGTAAAAAGGTAAGAATTTATGGCTAACCATAGTACCATGTCAGTACCCTGAGATGAGTGTGAGTGCATTCTAGCGTGAGCCATGGTAAAGGTATAGCGAGACAGTGGTAGTGCAATAGCGCGGTAATTGAGCTGTTAGCATGGTTAGTAGAGGACAAAGCTACGCCCGGTAAACTGCATTGTTGTCGCATAACCTGTGATAACTAACAAACACCTCAAACAGTTACATTTTATAAGGATTAGAAGAAAATACTACAGTCAAGATTAATTTATTGTGTCACCTTTCATCAAGGCATATCATTTAGGTATTATTCTACATATACATGTCTTCAAGCTTTACCATGTTTACTGTTATCAAGAGACATAATTTGTTGAATCAGAACTGCTGTCTAACTAGACCTAAACCCCAATCCTGGCAAACCAGTGAGTGAATATGGTTTTATTCTGCTTTTAGCAATATCTCACCAATATCAGGATGCGGCACACCAGAAATGGGCTTCACACATTGTACCCAGGTGAGGAATCGAACCTGGGTCTTTGGTGACAACAAGCAAATGCATTACCTACTAGGTTTGGCTACCGCCCATGCAAACCAGTGACTGAACACATGACCAATGATCTATGTCATCATTGGCCAAGGTAGCAAATATGATAAAGAAACAGTATCGGAGAAAATAATAAAAGGAAGACGTGAACCCAACAGTTTGTGCATAGTTAAAACTGTATACTATTCACAAATTTGAAACAAGTTAGTTTTGTTTGAGACATATCAAATTTAATGGCATTAGGCTTAGAATGACGAGGACTTTCAAGAACATTTCCATTATTTTTATCAATTTACAAAAAAAGAATTTCTTCGACATCATTAACTCAATTATAACTTCGCACGCAACTAAGAAATGAACCAATATAATACCCTTAGGGTAGCCTAGATCAATCATAAATTGAGTTTATGCAAACGAGTAAGATCTGCTCATCGTGCTCTGATCGAAAGGGCACGTCGAAATATATACCGTTAAAAAGTGCTGTTTGAACAACTCCACCAGCAACTGCAAGACCAAGGCCGAGCTTTCCAATACCACTTAACAACCGCTGTGCCATCTTGCACTCTGTTAGGCAATCGAATGTTTTGCAGTTATTTGCATCAGCTAGATCGCAAAATTGTGATGAAACCTTGGCCCATGTGAAGGGTACAGGAAGTGGACTTAGCGCATGTCCAACTAGAGAAAATGCAAAAGTTGAAATTTGCCAACAACGGAATAGGATCGAGGGCTATTTTAAGGACAGCAACACACAATGGTCTCGCAATAAAATGAATGATGAAATAACTGGAAAGAAAAAACTGCAAATACATTATGCCAACGATAATATTTATATAACAATAACAACTTTAAATATGTCATCTATTATATGTCCCCGATTCTGGCCAAGACACGTGGAGCTTTTGCAAATTAAAATATTTTCGACTTGATATAAATACAATATATAATATTGAATTACATATTATTTGTTATAAAGCAAATAATGGTGTTTTTGACAATGTGTAATTTTTATATAAACATGGTGAATTAGATTTAGATGTATGGTCCTTTAGACGCTGGAGAAAACTATTTGGTGGTGAGGATGGGGGCTGCATCCAACACTAACGGACTTGTGTTAAAGATTTAAAGGGTGCTTCAATATGGGTGCAGGCTAAAACGTCACCTCAGCAAAACGTCACCGATTTCTCTGGCGAAAACGGCACCGCATTTGGCGAAAACGGCACCACTGTTTTTAATAACGATAAGAACGATTTATGTTGTAGTATATCTGATTTATGTTATTTGTTACATATTATTTGATGTATTTACATGTTATAAATTTCCTGTTTTCCAGTTGTTCACAGATAACTACATACATTCACATATATACAGTTCTTCAGTTTTCATCTTCATCACAGTTTACAATATCGGCCCATGTACCACCGAGCATTGTGATAGTAGCTGACTCAGGGGGCTAATGTTTAATGTAAACTTGTTTTAACTTTTCACAATTATTGGTGTTTGTAAGAGACGATGTAAGTTTTCGCCAATCGGTGCCGTTTTCGCCAGGTGACGTTTTGCTGAGGTGCCGTTTTAGCTATAACCCCTTCAAAATGAACCTGGTTTTCCTTCAAGTGAACGCTTATTTTAGTGAAATCAATGAACAGGGACAGGAAAACAGTTTCAACAACATAAAAGGAAAGTTACATAACTAAACAAATAACACAATACTGACGTTTGGGATAACTGGTACCTCAGGGATCACATCCGAGCGGTGATTAAGTTATAGGTATATCAGCTCGGGGGCAATCCAACACTGATCGCTATGACAGTTGTATCTGTACAAATCGTATGCAGTAGGGAACCGAATAACATTGAATGATATATTTACCTGCTTGAATGCGGAAGAAAACAATAAGAAACGTTATTTTATTAACCACTAAAGGAGAAACACTCGAGGCAGGACCATAAAGAAACGGACAAACAATTGATTAGGGTCACCTCACAAAAATGACAAACTTTTCAGATCGGTCATATATTTCCTTTGTTCGTGGGTTAAAATAATCTTCAAATCATCTCCCATAAAAATCTGATTTATTTTAATTCGTATGTCATTACTTAAAACATAAATTGCATTTATCAAGTTTACATTTTAATCGCAACCGGCATTAAGTATTTGTTCGCCGGAATGTTTGTGACAGTTTGCGGAGATAATTGTGCTAAATGAATATCAAATCAACTTCTGGAAAAAATGTAATGGTTGAGACTTGCATTCTATACTCATACCCAAATTGAAATACCCATGAATAGAAAATATGAGGTAGAGCTTTTGACCTTTTACTTTTCAAATATCTTGACAAAGTTTTTTTTCTCTCGACAAAGTAGTAACTTTAAGATTAGTTTGGAATTTCCCCCTTATAAATATCACTGGCGATTACATTTTCTGTATGTTTGTCTCAGGTTAGCGGGACTAGTTACAAATAGGATCAGGCTAGAACAACACCAACAATGTCTGGCGATAATGGAAGCAAATTGGCTAAAATGGTATCAGATTTCGTTGGTGAAAACGGCACCGTATATATTATTTGTAAGTATATCGAAAGCAAACACTGTGTTACCATTCAATTTACATTTATTCAACGAAAACAATATTTGCTGATTTATTTTTGTTATACTATAGGCAATGTACTCCGATATAGCTATATAAATAATGTTTACAAATGTTATCATTAAACATTCGCAAAAGAAATCATGACTTATATGTTCATTATATTTATTACATGATTTATTATAACTGAATCTGCGAGTTTGCATGTATATATTTATTTGAGCTAATCAGTTTACGCGCTGATTTCCTTGTTACTGGGAGAAATGTAATTACAACACGTACCGTTGGAAATAGTGTCTAACGAAATAAATGTTTACATGACAGTAAGTCTTGTTAAGAATAGCAACTTCTTTTAAACTTTCTCACGACGTTTTAGAGCTACTTCTTGCTCCTTCATTAGGTGAATGATTCCTTCATTCCTTCATTCACCTGATGAAGGAGCAAGAAGTAGCCCTGACACGTCGTGAGAAAGTTTAAAAGAAGTTGCTATCCATAAAAAGTGTCATTTATTCATTTTTTTCAAAGACTTGAATTAAATGTCGTCCTAATCTTCGGAATTTACATTAAAATAAGAATTTCTAAGTTGCATTGAGGGTTACTTACTCACTAAGTGTATTCGTACTTACTGTGTCACTATTTAATTTTCTATATTTGACCTGTTGGTTCCGAAATTTATGCACTGTTGAATGGGTAATCGGGTACATCGAGTGTCTGTTAATCATTGTTCGTTTTCGGAACTTGAGAGTACTTTCATAACATTTGAATGCCGGGCTCTGCGCATGCGCCGTAAAGTGATGCAAAAACGTGGTTAAAGTGAGCAAGGGAAACAGACTTAAAACGTCCCTATTTGGTGTAAGTAGTAGACGACATTGCCACTGACACGCACTAGTCGATAGCTTAGACATGGATGGTGCTGAAGGGTAAGAGCGGATCGAGTAGTTGACATGTTGCTGGGATTTAACGCGTCGTGTTTTTGCTTTCATATCCGAGCCCATGTGCTTATATACCCTCATATTTGGACTTCGAATTGTGTGCTACACGTTTTATTTGGATTCTCAGTCAAATATGGTGGTTGCGTCCTAATTATGTTTAACTTAAATGTAAGATTAGGATTGTTTTGAAAATATTCTGACAAAACTTTACCAAACTCTGTTTAGATGTACATTTTTAACATGTTTAAGTTTGGAGGATATCTTGTGTGTTGGCATCCCTGAAGTTTCACGTTGGCTACCTACTTAACCAACATGACCAAAGCGTTACTTGATCACATTAAACTTGAAACTTTCTTTCTATTATAATAAATATGAGTTATATATGCTTTGAATCAGCATGGCATTTAATTTTCCAAGTTACACAAAGTCCTTTATACATTTTAGTTATGATGGCAGATCCCATATGTTTCTTAAGCTGGTATGGGTTCACTCTCGATTGGTTTGCCATTGAAATGTCCCCTGGGTTCAAAATGATAGAGCCAGAACTAGTCCTGGTTAGTATATAATTTCATAGAACATTGTTCTGTATCTATCTGTGGAGCAGTTTGTTGAACAGTGTGTCATAAGTTAATCAGTAAAGATCTGGGAACATTTCTGCATACACTCAAGTCATGTTTATCTGACATGGTTGGTTGCATATGTTTTGGGTAAACAAAATTAAGTAGTACCAATGGTCGTGATTTTAAATCACTACACAATAGATGATGATACATGCATGTTGTAAAATAATAAATAAGGAAATATTCATATTGTGTTGTATTGTCAGCTGAATATGTTTCTAATCATGCAAACTCTAAACATGTGATATCCTTTTTTTGTGTATTTAAAAGATTAATTTGTATTGTTAAGTTAGTTTATCTCTGCAGCCGTTGTCATATGTAGCTACTAGCCGACTCGTCTTGCATCAGACCACAGGGCTGTGTACTGGCCGGCAAATGACCGTCAGATTAACGAGAATCATTAATGATAGATTTCAGCAATTCATTGCATATTACGTGTGTCGGTGTCGGAATGCGAGACTGTCGGATTAACAGGTCAAAATAGCACTGATTTAATTGGTTCCCATCATTAGTGTCATTTAATGCAGACTGTCGGATTAACAAGACTTGACTGTACTGTGTTGTACCCAGAGTACTTTTCAAAAGTAAACTAATCGAGAGTGACCATGTCTGTGTTTTTTTATCTACTCGTTTACTCTAGGTGTTTTTGAAGATCTTTATTCACAATCAGTCGCCCCTGTGCCTAAACAATATGTCATGTATTACCATGCTTGTACTTGTATGTATAGGCTATTCATGATAGATGGATTAAATCTAGTCAAATAATTAGACGTAAATGGTATAGTGGTTCATTGTTCACATAGGTTCTTTTCTGGCATGTTTTCATTTGTTGTGTAACTCCTCAGCACTACTCTATCTATACCCATGATATCACGTTGACCTGTAAAGATTCAGGCCTTAACATACAAGACAAGCCAGTGGATGATATAATGAGCAAAGTCCTACATCTTCAGGGCATGATCATGATGACATTCAATCAATCAAGTCACTGAGTCTGACAACGCATTGTTCTTTTGTTGGCTCTTGTAAGTGTGGCATACTTAAATCGGGACATATTCTGGTCCAGAATCCTAAATAACATGAGTGTCACTATGGTGCCATCAGTATTCATGCAGTGGCACAAGTACAGCAAAGGTATCAATAAGAATTGGTGTTAATTCTTCATTTTATGTCTTTTTCAGTGAAAAGGAAAACATTATGGCAGGAGAAAACGGTACAGCATCTGGTGCAGCGTCTGCACTTGAGACAAAGATTATTAACCAGATAGAGGTGAGTCTTCTTCAGAATCCTGTAACTATAGTATTGGCACATTTGGCATGATTATAGCAATACAGGGTCCATACAGGCTTGAAAAGGCCTTGATGTTTAAGTTCTCTCGTCAAAACCATTGACGTTTTAGTGTCAACCTTGAAAACCCTTGGAAATCAATGACATAGCTTGAAAGCTTTGAATTTGTTCAAAATGACATATATATATATATATACATGTTAATAAAGGTATTAAAGCACACTAAAAATGTACCAAGGAGGTTAAAGTGAGATTTATGACATTAATAGATTTGTGTGTAATAAATTATGAAGATTTATCTTTTTGTAGGGTGTGAAAATATATCTTGTTGGAAAATGTTTATAGTAATATATAATAACATAGTATGCTTGACTTAATCAAATATTGTCAGCGGCAGCCTGAAAAGAGCTTTTATTTTAGTGTTCCATATCTGTATGAACCTTAATTTGTGGAACTGAGGCTTTGACATGTTTTATTATAATTGTAATCTGATAACCTCAGATGTATTTTGTCTGATTTTGACCAGATTTGAATATTGTTTTTTTTTCACAGAAACAATTTGAACATGCCTATTTTTATTTTCAGTATTATTTTGGAGACATAAACCTGCCACGTGACAGATTTCTTCAGGATCAAATCACCCAGGATGATGGCTGTATCCTTTATTTTTCAATAGATAGTGTACACATCTATCACATTTTTATGGGCGATATATGAAATAGTTTTATCATGATCATGCGGGCAGTTGGGTAGCCTAGTGGTTAAAGCGTGATTCCCGACATGCGTACAATGTGTGAAGTCCATTTCTGGTGTCCCCCACCGTGATATTGCTTGAATATTGCTAAAAGCGGCGTAAAACCATACTCACTCATGAACATGCATCTGGCGACTGTTTCTACAGTCGTAAAAGTTTGGGTTACAGATTTACCCAGTAAAGATTTTATTATTTAGGAAAGTTCTGTTGGCTGACCATGCTTAGCGTTCATACTCTTGCCCATGTATTTTATCACTTATCAATTTCATGTCGGAATCAACAGCTTCAGGATGGGTTTCAAGAACTTATTTGGAAAACCCTTTCATGAGTTTTGATGACAATGTGGTTAAGCAAAAACCCAACCAATCTCCTTAAGATATGGGATATTGTCAAGTTGTTATGCTGCATGCTAACGGTCAGTTTTAATTTTTTCCCATCCAAACATCCTTAACTGTAAAACAGGGGTGACACTGGAGACGATGCTCAAGTTCAATCGACTGAAGAAGTTGAGTGATGACCATGATGTTATCTGTGCAGCTCTGAAGAAGTCTGCAAGTGGCTTGATTGAGGTAGGTAGACTCAAGCTGTGTGCTTTCCTCTAAGGGTTTTATTGAGGAAGGTAGCCTCAGGCTATCTGCTGTCATCTAGAGGTTTTATTGAGCTAGGTTGTCTCAGGCTACCTGCTTTCGTCTAGGTTTTTTTTTTTAGGTAGGTAGTCTCAGGCTATCTGCTGTCATCCAGTGGTTTTATTGTAAGGACTGACTGAAAATCATGTCTGTGGCTGAAGCATGTCAACATGTCATGATTGTGTAGTTCACTGCACATATGCACTCAGTCACTGGTTTGTCTGGACGTGTCCATTTACCTTGTAGCAGGAATATGTAATATGTGCTCACTCAAAGGTTGGCATGACAGATTGGTTTGAGTTACAAGTGTATCAATGTGTTGTAGGTTGCCGAAGACAAGACAAAGATCCGCAGATCTCCCAGCAAGCCAATCCCAGACAACACGAAGGAGAGGAGGGAGGAAGTCTCAGCCAGATCTGTATATGCTGTAAGTTTGATAGTTGTCATGGTTACTAAACTTTGTAGTTTTACTTGTATCTAGAAACTGACCAATGTTTCTCACCTGCTTAAAGTTTAAGAAAGTTAGCTTTGTAAATTTTTATTTGAGCACATGATGTTACTAGAGTTCTGATGTCCACTGACTGATACTCATCTAAGGAACCGCTGATGCTCAATTTATTTGGATTTTTGTTGTTGCTGGAAACAGCTGGAATTAGCTTCAGATGGCATATGCAGATATTTATGACAAAGATTTGTTTGAAAAATATTCTTGATTTGAAGATTACATAACATAGAAAATCTTATTTGATTTGTTTGGTTATTGTCTAACGCTACACTCAGCAGCTATATGGCTGCGGTCTATAAATAGAGTCTGGACCAGACAATCCAGTGATTGTCATCATGATCTTTGATCTACAGAATTGGGATACGATGACATGCATCAGCCAAGTCAGTGAGCCTGACCACCCGATCCTATTAGTTGCCTCTTACTGCTAGCATGGGTTGATGAAGACCTCTACCCAGATCTTCACAGGTCTCTAACTTTGAAGTATTTCCCATTCGAAGATGAAACCAAGCACTACTTCATGTGCTAATGTCGTATAATCACACATCAATTGTCATTTTAGATCTTTCATACAGTATAACTGATTGCTTGAACCATAATAAGGCTCAACATTTTTTTAATTGGTTTTAGTGATTCTGCCAGCCCTAAGTAAACTAGACAACATTAAATCTGAAAAGCATTATTTATGAATTCACGCTGAATGCTACTTAATGTATTCTGCATACAACAGGGCAATCTACAAGACTGACAGACAAGCTTAAGTCAAACTGCTCACATAGAAACTATTGAAATAACTGAAATGTATTTGTTTTGTACCAACCAAGATATGAAAATGTTTCGCCCAATGATTGGAAATTTTGTACAAGTGGCAATGTAAGAATGTTCTTATAGTTCAGGTTGAAAGCACTCTTGGATCTTACTCCTTTGCCTTTTTAAGTGTGATCATTGCCTTGAAAGATAACTTGGTGACTAAGTTTTGTGTTCACAATTCTGTATGATCGGTAGACCTTAATACATGGTGCATTGTCCATCTCCGCTGAACTGTGTTAAGCATGAGCACATGATGTTACTAGAGTTCTGATGTCCTGTGACTGAGACTCATCTAAGGAACCGCTGATGCTCAGAATTGTCAATAGATTCCTTTGGATGAAAACATGTTTTTATTGGAATATTATGAATATATTATCAATATTATGAAATATTGAACATGAATCATGATGTATTGATCCTATTTAATCATAATTTGATAAACATTCAGGTATGTGTTCAGATAATGTTTCTCTTCTCTCTAGATCTCCATGTCAAGATTGCCATGGTCATGATGGTAGATTATTGAACACTACAGTATCATAACACACACATTGACAATTTACAAATAAGACCATCATTCAGATATCTGTTTTGGGCAATGCTACTAAGTTATGTCTTATATCTGAAGTTGGATAGTTAGGGATATTATTTTTACACAGATTACAGATGGAAACACAAACATGCAGATTGTTTTATCACTGTGTATTAAATAATGGAAATGTGAATATCCTTTCAGTTTAGGGTGAGGGGGGATGTGTGGCATGGGTGTCCCAGTCGTCCAAAGCGTCACAATTCGTTGTGCAGAGTTGCTTCCCTTGGTCATACCAGATTCATTTGATCGTGGGTTCGAATCTTGATTCGGCCTGATTATGTTTCTAGGTTTGTCAACACCATACCCGAGCTTGTGGGTTTCATAGGTGTGGCTTTCCTCCCACATTAAGCTGACAAGTCGTCCTATAACTGGAATACTGTTAAAAACATCTTTTATCCAACTCTCTCACTCATGGTATATTCATATGTTTATTAAGCCATTACATCAGAATCAAGTACCGTATTGACTCCAGTTCACTATTTGTCTGGTGCATCACTGTTTCCAACAAACTACTGTTTATTGTAGAAAAGGGCAGTAAGATGTTGTGCACAGCACATCGACAATTTAAAGCACATGATGTTACTAGAGTTCTGATGTCCTGTGACTGAGACTCATCTAAGGAACCGCTGATGCTTTCTGTTGAGTGTTGCTCTTATATGCAGTTTCAGTGACAAATAATTCTATTGCCACCCCGCTTGGTTAATTGTTTTCCTATGAAGCCATTTAGCTTCCACATGAAAAACACACACAATTAGTTTGAATTTATTCAATAAAATGTTTGAAGTTTCATATCGGGTCCAGTATCTGGCATTGTCAGTATTCCCTGCAAGTGATGGGTTTGTTGAACAATAAGCATGTGTCATTACATTTTTTATTGAAATGTAACCATTAAAATTCTTTTTGCCAAGCCTCATGAAAGACGTTTGTGACTGTGAGTGTCTGTCTTTCTGTGTATTAAATTCAGCATAAGCATCAGAAATAAGCACTAGTCCTATATTCCTTGCCAAACTGGCCAATAGCTAAAGGTATCATAGGGGTAGTTGAAATTTGCCCTTTTTAATGTTATCATTATAAGGACTAGTGGACTAAAACTGTCAGTTTCTACCGTTGGAATTTAGAGTTACGAGCAGACGATGACTTGCTGGTCCCTCCATCGTATTTCAGGACTTTTTTCCTCCATCATATAACAGGACTTTGTATGCTAGGACTGACTCCCTCCTCCTTTGCTTTACAGAAAGGCTTCCCCGAGGATCAAACTCTGGACCAGCTGCAGGAGTTCTTCAATAAACAAGGTCAAGTGGAGAGCATTTCCATGAGACGCATCCCCAAGACTAAAGACTTCAAGGTAAGGGCAGAAGTAAACAAACCTTGAATTTTCATGTAAAATGCCTTCTTATGGATCGGCAGTGCTTATTACTGTCAAAGTTTCATGGGGCTGTATTCTGTAGTAAAGCGATTGATGTATACATGCTGAAGTAAGGAGTTTGAGGTCTGCTGTAGTAAGCCAATTGAGGTCTGCTGTGAGTGTTGAGGGGTCGTTGTTGGCTGAGTCCTATGCAGATTCATAAGAGGTGACTTAATGGAAAGTGGTCAGGCTCAGTTGCTTGGTTGATTGTGTGTTATTGTACTCTCAGTGACGTGGGTTGTTGCTCCAATGTCAATCACTGGATTGTCTGGTCCAGACTTAATTGTTTACAGGATGCTGGAGTATTGTTGATTGAAGTCTTAAGCAACGAGGATGCTCCGTGGTCTTTCAGTTTATGGTGAGGGGTGATGTGTGGCATGGGTGTCCCAGTCGTCCAAAGCGTCGCAATTCGTTGTGCAGAGTTGCTTCCCTTGGGCATACCAGATTCCTATGATTGTGGGCACAAATCTTGATTCGGCCTGATTATGTTTCTAGGTTTGTCAACACCATACCCGAGCTTGTGGGTTTCATAGGTGTGGCTTTCCTCCCACATTAAGCTGACAAGTCATCCTATAACTGTAATACTGTTAAAAACATCTTTTATCCAACTCTCTCACTCATGGTATATTCATATGTTTATTAAGCCATTACATCAGAATCAAGTATTGACTCCAGTTCACTATTTTTCTGGTGCATCACTGTTTCCAACAAACTACTATTTATTGTAGAAAAGGGCAGTAAGATGTTGTGCACAGCACACCGACAATTTAAAGCACATGATGTTACTAGAGTTCTGATGTCCTGTGACTGAGACTCATCTAAGGAACCGCTGATGCTTACTGTTGAGTGTTGCTCTTATATGCAGTTTCAGTGACAAATAATTCTATTGCCACCCCGCTTGGTTAATTGTTTTCCTATGAAGCCATTTAGCTTCCGCATGAAAAACACACACAATTAGTTTGAATTTATTCAATAAAATATTTGAAGTTTCATATCGGGTCCAGTATCTGGCATTGTCAGTATTCCCTGCAAGTGATGGGTTTGTTGAACAATAAGCATATGTCATTACATTTTTTATTGAAATGTAACCATTAAAATTCTTTTTGCCAAGCCTCATGAAAGACGTTTGTGACTGTGAGTGTCTGTCTTTCTGTGTATTAAATTCAGCATAAGCATCAGAAATAAATTGTGGTAGAGCATCCGCCCGGAGAGCAGAAGGTCCGGGGTTTGATCCCCGGCCTCATCATACCAAAAGAAGTTAAAAGATGGTACTTGTTGTTACCCTGTCTGGCGCTCGGCATTGAGGGGCTAAAACAAGGACTGGTCGGCTCGGAGTATACTGTGTCTGAGTGGGGTATTCATGTTAAACTGCGGCATGGTATCTCAGTGAGCTAGCACTATAAATCGGCACTATAAATCGGCATCAGTCCGGACTAGTACAAGCAGCCACGCACGTGCATGCACGTCGCTATATGAGTGCAATAATCTTGGACGCGATGTTAAACCCAATTTCACCTCACCTCACCTCACCTCACCTCACCTCACCTCACCTCACCTCTTAAGCAATGAACGAACTTTGTTTGCTGTGTTCTGTAAGGAGGTGTACTGATGTCAGTTGCTGTAAATGCTACAGAGAGAATGAAGTGATATCTGATACTGACACTGTTGCTGTGAATGTTTCAGGGGTCTGTGTTTACTGTGTTCTGTAACAAAGAGGATGCAGAAAAGTTTGTTAAAGCAGAGTCCTTAAAGTATGGAGAAACAGAACTGGTCCGATGTTTCAAGTAAGTCTGCATCTGTTAATTCTGCAAAATATTTCATACATCACCACAAATGTATGCAAGTTTTTTACATTGGCCTGAACATTAGGCAACATATGTTCAACATTATATAAGATTTAGAATGTTGTTTTTAGAAATCCTCTCATTATGATGTTTATATCCAGGATATGAGCAACCCTTGAAGTTGAATATTGTAACTTAATTTATCAGACATTGAGTTAACCAGGCACTCTAAGTCTAATTTGTAATACCATGTCCAACTTTTTAACACAACTGAGAAGTTAGATGTCTATTGTAATGAGTGAGATATAATAGCTTATGCTGCTACAGACAGTTGACTAATGTGATCAGATCACCAAGCCTTGGGGAAGGCTTAAAAAAGCCTTGAATTGTAAGTCTCTTGAAATAGCCTTGAAAATCACCAAAATAGCTTGAAATGCCTTGAATTTGTACAAAATGATAATCTTGTCAATTAAAGTATTAAACACACAAAACTAAACGTTAGAAAATCTAAGTGTTATTTATCACGGTGATAGATTTGACACTTTGCCAAACACTTTGAAGAATTCATGACAGACTTAATTTATTTTATTTATTGAAAATCTAATTTGAAAATTTGTAATGTTCGTACTGCTTTTTAGGTCTTAAGACTAATATGCAGTATGCTGGATTTAAACCCAACTAGAAAAGCCTTGAAAGGGCCTTGAATTGTGTTCCATATCTGTATGAACCATGCAAGAGAATAACCAATGGCTCTTTTGCAGAGATGATTACTTCAAGAGGAAGAATGAAGAGAAGAAGCAGGCGAAGAAGCAGCATAGTGAGGAGTGAGTTAACACTTGTACATGGTTTTACATTGTAGTATACAACAAGTTACCCTGTCAGCTGGTCAGAAGTACCTACTTGTCATAGAAACTTACTGCCCATCATACGATGGCTGTGTGGTCATTGTGTCTGCATGTTGTAGATTGTTGCTCATTCATCAGCTCCTGGTGTACCCGGATGAGGAAAGAGTATACACAGGCTGTTGTAGTAGGGTCAACTTTGGCCTTACACAGCACTCACTCAATCACTCAATCACTTGATGAGGGTTTCAAACCTGAGATTCACCCTGATCGATCTTGGTTTGTCAGCACCATGCCCTTGGATCATGATTCAGCATGTTAAGCCACACACTGTTGTGTATATATAGAATAGTAAACTAACTCCTGTTTAATGCCAGTTTTATGAACGAGTGAATAGTCCTGGTATTAGGACAAGCAGAAGCCACTCAGATAATAGAACAATTCTCAATTTTCATAAAATTGGTATCGATCAGGAAAAGAATTTAGTAATTTATTTATTAAATGTTGAGTACAAGTTTTGGTGGGAAATGCTATCTTGTATAAAATGTGCCATCAAAAACTACATAGTTTTGCTTCAGGGAAGTGTTGGTTGGATAAGGGTGGGTCACTTGTTACTGAGTCACCTGTGTGCTTCAGGGAAGTGTTGGTTGGATAAGGGTGGGTTACTTGTTACTGAGTCACCAGTGTGCTTCAGGGATGTGTTGGTTGGATAAGGTGGGTTGCTTGTTACTGAGTCACCAGTGTGCTTCAGGGATGTGTTGGTTGGATAAGGGTGGGTTACTTGTTACTGAGTCACCAGTGTGCTTCAGGGATGTGTTGGTTGGATAAGGGTGGGTTACTTGTTACTGAGTCACCAGTGTGCTTCAGGGATGTGTTGGTTGGATAAGGGTGGGTTACTTGTGGTTATTGAGTGCACATGTCATGCAGCCAATTTCCACAACCCTGTTGTGAAGCACATACTTCATTTCAAATATTTCTGTCTTTGAAATAATTCCACTTTTCTTTTTCAGTGTCAAGGAAAAGGAGAAGGAGCAAGATGATGTGAGCTGTGAATTGATTCATTGTTTCATCTTGTTAGTGGGATAAAAGGAACATTGTTGACCTCTTCAGTATTGTGATATACCATGCATGTGATAGTAATGGTGCTAAATATAGATTGCATTCATCAGATTATTCCATTTTAACACTTTTAATAGTTATTTTGGTAGTCAGTAGGTTTTCTTACATATGAACATCATTGATCAACATTCACGAAACAAGAAAAATTTCAGCGCTACTGCTCCCACATGTTACAAGCAAGTTCATGTGATGTTGTTGATGGGACTTTGTAACTCTAATTCCTTGTGTAATGTTGCTTAAGATACATCTCTCTAGACACAATGTTCAGTCCTGTCTGTATCTTGAATTTGTTTTGGCAGGATGTATGAGCAATGTAGAGTAAAAGTATTACATGCATGTTTTTCATTGCCAGATACCAATGAACCATGTTTCAAAATTCTGTTTTTGCTGTTACAGAAAATCAGAGATCGAATTAAGACAGCCACCATCTTGAGACTTGATGGTCTCCCTGGTGATATCACACTGGAAGATCTCCGCAACTTCTTCACAGACTTCGGCACAGTGGCCTGGGTTGACCACGACAATGGAGAAACAAAGGTAGCCCATCTTGTGTGTAATAAAACGTAATGTTCCTATCTTCTTGATATTTTTGTACATATATTTCTGTTTGGATGTGTCTTTTGTTTTAAACTGGGTCTTCATTGTCCATCTTGCCGAGCAGAATTGAATCCTTAAGCATGTTCAGCTGAACTGCTGACCGTTTGCTCCAATCTAAAATGCTCATAGCTTTTAGCAATCTTATTAACATCAGATATGTTGCTGCGATATGATACCCACCCAATGAAGTGCCAATCAGATGTCAGCTTTCAAGGATGATTTGGCTTCATTGCTTTACCACTTGATTCAGAAATTGATTTTAATAAAAGGAAATCTGCACAGAATAGAGATATTCCTCAATGGTACTCCATTTTTGGCTTACGATGCCATGGCATTCAGAGATGTATCAATACACATCTAAATACTTGAATATGTGGAAGGAATTGCAATCAACCAGTTTGTGTTTAGCTTGCATGAATTGTGTTTAACTTGCATGACTTGTGTCAGATCTTGCTTTTTGTTTCGTGATACAGTTATTGAAAAAAAACAAGTAAATTTTAGTTTGATAATACATACAGATTTAATACATGAATAGATATATGGGTATGTGTATCACATCATACTGTCAGGTGTGAATTCAAAAAGCATCGGTGAACTGTGACAACCTTAACAAATTTTATTGTTTATCTCTTGCATCAGGTTTTATGTTTAAGACTATTGTTGCAGGGCTATGTGAGGTTCACCATTGTTTATCTCTTGCATCAGGTTTTATGTTTAAGACTATTGTTGCAGGGCTATGTGAGGTTCACCATTGTTTATCTCTTGCATCAGGTATTGATGTTGAAGACTATTTGTTGCAGGGCTATGTGAGGTTCACCATTGTTTATCTCTTGCATCAGGTATTGATGTTGAAGACTATTTGTTGCAGGGCTATGTGAGGTTCACCATTGTGTATCTCTTGCATCAGGTATTGATGTTGAAGACTATTTGTTGCAGGGCTATGTGAGGTTCACCAATGAGAACGAGGCAACAGAAGTGTTGACTAAAGCTAAAGAGGCAGGAGAAGGGAAGATTGAGATCAACAATAACGAAGTGACAGCTCGTGTGCTTGATGGTAGGTGGCTTGCTATGGCTTTATCCTTGTGTAGTACCCCATCTTCGTCTCAAGGTAAGGACTCTGATCAGGATAGACACTGTACCCCATCTTTGCCATGATTGTCTCCCCTGATTGAGTACAAGGCTAGAATTGATCCCCATATCCTATGCTAGTTGTGAGAGGCGACTAAATGGGTTGGGTTGTCAGAGTTGGTGACTTACAGTAACGATCACTGAATTGCCTGTACTGGATTTAGAGTCTGCCATCATGTAGCCGAGTGCAGCATTAAACAACAAACACACATGTTTGTCTTCCCTCTAGGTATTCCTAGGCACAGCAGGTCTCCAGTACCTAGTGCTTGTCATTAAAACTGATTATATGGGAATAAGATTTGTTTTGTGAATTGTTGTTGATGCTATCAATCACTGGTTTGTAGCACACTTGATGATTTACATGGCACAGTGATGTAACATTAAAATTGTAGATAGGTGTGTAAAATTAATAAATGTAAAAGTAGAAGATTATTGTGTAATGTTATGTCTGGGAGGCACTGTAAGCCCCTAGGTTGGTAGATTGAGATTAGATGACCACAATGTCTGTTTATGCAGAAGTACTATTCTTTTCTGAATAAGTTGCACCTTTTCTGTGTGTAGGTGAGGAGGAACTCAACCACTGGAAAATGATCTTCAAGACGATGGAAGATCAGCGGAGGTCTCGCAACAAGCAAGGTGGAGGCAGGGGAGGCAAGCGCCGTAACAACCAATACGGGGGAAGGGTAAGTCAACGGGAATTGCCAGCACTCAGGAAATGTCTTCTTTTGTGCTAATTATAGTTTGATTTACTCAATAGTTAATGGTGTGAAACTGACAATTGATTTTAAGCTTTGTGCATGTTGGCAGACTGAATAAGGTAGCAATAAAATCATGTCAATGTTTTCTGTAACTGTAGAAAAAGTTTTCAAGCATTCCTTCTTCAAACAATTTTTCTAACTTACCAATTTGGCAAAGTGTTAAGATAGGCCCCTTAATGTTACCAGAGCTACAGATTAGCTGCATATTTGCGTAAAATACCCCCCAAAACTATTTTTTTAAAAATTACTTTCAATTAACTTGCGTACAGAAACGCATGCATTAAATGGAAAACTCAATTGTTCGAAAACAGCACGTGTAAATACCCAATGAAGCTTTTTCAGCATGCATACAACAGAGCTAATTTCTGAAACACAATTACGAGCTAATTTACTTTCCGAGTCAAGCCTATACTTAGAACCGTTATATACATCTAAAACATTATTTCATTATTATTTTTAAATCTCAAAATGCTTGATCATTTGGTTACCCAATGAAAAATGTAATAACCCAATTAAAGTAGAAACCTTCGAGTAAAAACTCAATTGCTCAAAAAGTTATCTGGAGCTCTGATTACCCATGTCCTCCATTCTTGTCGTAAGAGCGGACAGATGAGGATCAAGTTACAGTGTGTAAAAGGGATCATTGTATTTCATCATTCCTCAATGATGTGGATCATCATGTTGAGCTTTCAGCCCATAACAAGCTGTGATATTACTGAAATACTGTTCAAAGCTGGATCAATGCAAACTCACTTGATGTGGATCGTTTGCTCATGGTATCGACCACTGAATTGACCAGACCTGACTTGATTCTTCATAGGCAGCTGTTACATGGCTGGAATATTGCTGTAATTTTGATGTGAAACACCATGCACACTATCCACTATGACCATTGAAGTTTGAAGTTGCTGCGCAGTTGAATTTGAATTACCTTAATTTCCTTTGTTGCATACAGGGAAAGCGAAGGATCAACAGGGACAGGGACGGAGGTATGTGTTCACTTTTACATCGGTTCATTGTCCTACTGTGAAAATGTCGGGGAGTGTGTTTCGGGAAACATTGACATTGTCAGGGTAGTGTTCAGGTTTAGGTTTTCTGGAATGGTTACACTGTTTGGCAGGGTGGTGTGGTATTGTTCAGGGTTACACTGTTTGGGTGGGTGGTGTGGTATTGTTTATGGTTACACTGTTTGGGTGAGTGTGAGGGGGGTGGTATTGTTCAGGGTTACACTGTTTGGGTGAGTGTGAGGGGGGTGGTATTGTTCAGGGTTACACTGTTTGGGTGAGTGTGAGGGTGGTGGTATTGTTCAGGGTGACACTGTTTGGGTGAGTGTGAGGGTGGTGGTATTGTTCAGGGTGACACTGTTTGGGTGAGTGTGAGGGTGGTGGTATTGTTCAGGGTGACACTGTTTGGGTGAGTGTGAGGGTGGTGGTATTGTTCAGGGTGACACTGTTTGGGTGAGTGTGAGGGTGGTGGTATTGTTCAGGGTGACACTGTTTGGGTGAGTGTGAGGGTGGTGGTATTGTTCAGGGTTACACTGTTTGGGTGAGTGTGAGGGTGGTGGTATTGTTCAGGGTTACACTGTTTTGGTGGGTGTGAGGGTGGTGGTATTGTTCAGGGTTACACTGTTTGGGTGAGTGTGAGGGTGGTGGTATTGTTCAGGGTTACACTGTTTTGGTGGGTGTGAGGGTGGTGGTATTGTTCAGGGTTACACTGTTTTGGTGGGTGTGAGGGTGGTGGTATTGTTCAGGGTTACACTGTTGGGTGTGGTATTGTTCAGAGTTAAACAGTTGGGATGGGGGATAGTATTAAGGTTTACACTGGTTGGGTGGGGTGGTCTTGCTGACCCGTGAAGATCTGGCTTAGGATTTTCAGCAGCCCATGCTTGTTGTAATAGGTGACTATTTGGATTGGGTGGTAAGATTCACTGACTGAGTTGAAGAAAGTCATTGTTTTCTAGTTGTGTAGATTGATGCTCATGATGTGAATCACTGACTGGATTGTCTGTTCCTGACTCGATTATTTACAGAGTGTGGCATTAAACAACAACAAACCAAGAGTCTTGTTGATGTGACTTGCCTCTTGTTTTAGATGGAGAACCTGCAGCCAAGACATTGAAGACAGAAGACGACTGAGAATGGGTCTCCCTGCTACTGAAAACAACACAATCATCAGATGTCTCTGTTGTGCCTTTGTTTATCACAGAAGACTCCACCAAGTTGAGGAGCAGATGTGGACTAGGACAGGGGACCGGGGGATGAGAGATGAGGGGACGGGGGGATGTGGGAACACAGCACTCAGTTATTGGGACGTCTTGGGCCGACAACCATGGACATAGGGATGTACATTCAGATTATCTGTGGCTGTATAAGAGATGACAATGTAGATATGTAAGCACTTGGAAAAGAGGTGGTGAAGTAACGCATTCTATGTTTTGTTTCACATTTATCAAGGGTGTTTCCATTAGATGTAAAACCAAAAGTACACAAGGTATTGATGAATGGAATAATGGGTGTTGCATCCTGTGTGAAACAAATTTTTACATGCTGTTGAGGATATTCACAAAATTAAACGATTATTGTTTAAGGTGTCTCCACATCATCCAAAGCTAAATGCTGGATTCAAATACATTTTTGGACATTGCAATTAAGTTGCAGGCAGAATAATGTTTGCTGATCCTGTCAGACCACTGAAGTTAAAATAAAAAATACTGGTAAGTAAAAATGATACATTTTATATTTTAGGTTTTGGGATTGAAAAAAAATTGATTGAAGTAAAGATCTGCCAAAATGTAATGCAAAAGGTCATGCTTGTTATTCCCAGCTAATATCAGCGAGCCACTCCAATATTGCAAGGTGAAAAGAGGTAAAGATTTTGCCAACAAATGGAAACCTGTTGTTTCTTCAGTATCATATGTAATAGCACTGCCCCAATCCTAACACTTTTTACCCAGTACTTCTACTGAATTTGATAATTTTCTTACTCTGTTAAAAAGATGTTTGAAATACAGGTAAAGTAAGCAAGATGGTTTGTTTTGGTCGAAATACAGCACAATAAATTGGGTGAAAGTGTCTGCAATAATGTTGTGAGTATCCACCCTTGGTAGCTCCGCCCAGTAAACTGTTGAGAGGTATGGGTTGGCCCAGTATCTTCATTTACTCATCTGTACGTAGTACATTTCATTTTTTAATGTACTTTTTATACTTTTGTTTGTTCCTAATTTATTTTAGATAAGTTTATATTAAGTGATTTGGAGACATTTTCACCTTGTATTATGAAAGTTGATGAGTACTATTTTAAGACTAACTGTAGTTACATTTTATCGCCTACATTTCCATTTGTACATAGTGTCAATAAACTACATTTATCACTACCTTGTGTTTTACATTCTTTTGTGAGATGTCGTTGTATCCTTGCAGACATCGTAAGTTATAATATGCCCCCAAGGGTATCCTGGGTATGAATATGTTCCTGGTAACCTGTAATTATGGTAAGGGACCAGTTGACTTTCGGAGAGGGGGAGCTGGGAGCTGGGAGCTGGAAGATCAGATATTTTTTTCAGCTACAGCTACAAGACAATATCTACCGTATTCGACGTAATAAGCGCCCAGGGCGCTCTCAAAATTAGGAATAGGGGGCTCTTATTAGAATATTATTTTGGTGGAAAAAAAACCGAGTTGAAAGATAAATTTCGTGGTTTATGCTGACCGCCTGAAATGTTTATGTACGACAGATATATATTTTCCAGAAATAAATTTCCCAGAAATAAATTCCCCATAATTAAGGGTGCATATAACACACGAGTGTGTATTATACGCGAATAAATAAGTCTTGTGTACATTGATCAATTGGAAGGGGTGCTAACTGGGATTGTTCACTAGCCAACATATTAGCAAATATCGCCATGGGCGCTTATTAGAGCGGGGCGCTTATTACGTCGAATACGGTATTTATTTATTTAGAACTATAGCCAGAATTTTTGTAAGAAACACGTCTTGCATTTCTTGCATTTTCATGGGAAAATTAGTGGAACTTACTATACAGATCAGGCTAGTGGTGAACTGGTGCCTTTTGAGGATCTGAGATGTTGAAAAATACTGAACAGCATTTTTTGAGCATCGATCCACTCATTTGAGATATGATGACATGCATCAAACTCAAGTCTTCAAGTCTGACCACCCGATCCGGTTAGTCACCTCTTACAACAAGCATAGTAGCCTTTTACGACAAGCATGGGTTGCTGAAGATGTATTCTACCCTGGATCTTCATGGGTAGACGCGCATAAGCAACTCTGCACTGTGAAGTGCAGCGTGAGACAACTGGGCCACTTTTCTCCTCTCCAGACACCACTTTTGCATGAAAATCACTTAGAAAAATTAAATTTCAAGAGCACAAGGCAAGTCCGATGCAATTCCATCTTATTTTTAGCTGTACCACATGTTCCAGTGTTGTTTTTTCCAGGTGAACAATTGACTTGCCTTTGCATGTGTTTGTGATGGGTGCCACCAGTGGAACAGCTCACCATTTCGCGAACACCTGGCATCATCACCATTTGATAATGATTCATAAACACATGCTCATGATATAGTCGGAAACGTACTATGGACCCTGCTGTTGGCATATATTTCTTATGTGGAAAGGGTTTTGTGGCTTTTACTTGCATGCTTTTCAGTTTTATGTACAGTGTGATGTACATGTTACCTGTGTATATTCACAATGTGAACGAGTAGTGTTTGAGCCAACTTGTAGGGAAGTCGGATTAGAACTGGTCCCGTCATAATTATGTCTGAAACATTGCCCGGTGTGGCGTTAAACAACAAACAAAACATCTAGAAGGGCAAGTACATTGTATCGTATGTATGTATCTCGGCTCGACCGGTGCTACTCAACATTAGGTTATCAGTAAACTTCAGGCGTTTAAAAAGTAAACCCTTGTGTTGACATTCCGACCTTTTCAAAGAATAGACGGTTTGTTCAAAATAACGAAGCCCTCATTCCTTTTCAGTTAAAAGGTTGATTGGTCTGTCGTTCTTCCAAACACCATCTGGCTTCGCGTGTGCTAAGACTGAATTGTGATCACAGAATGTGGCGTTCCATAGGTGATTACCATTCATCCCAGTGTTTTGACAGCGTCACACCATGCGCTGCAGTCGATTCCATCGGGACGTCATCGACAAGAGTTAACAAATATTGAACGCTTTATACTCAATTTACTCAAGTGTACAAATATTGGATCGTTGTATGGCCTACTTGTATTCTAATATTGTTTGTTTGCGTGAAAAAGTAAGTGTCCACATTAATTTTGTTAAAAACACATGAAATATGTACTTATTTTGATATGGAACTGTTTGGCTTCAAAAGATTGGTTAATCTTCCAACTGTGTATATAACAAGCCCCTTTAATCATGATAAAAAGTTATTTCAGACGCATTGAGATCAAAGACTAGCACCGCCTTAGGATCCTTAACCCACCATCCCCAATTGTTGATGGGGTTTTGCAATGACCAGCCTGCATATATATTTTGTTAATATCCCGAAAACGTTTGATAGGTCCATGTTCAACTAGACGTCTGCAATCAGAATATTTACTGGAATTTTTGTTTTGAAATATGTGTTTGTGAAAAACAAAAAGACGCACATGCACAATAACGTATCTCTACTGTACAGGACTATTTTTGTGTTGTGATCAAAATGGCAATTTAAATGACACGTGCGATTACTAAAGTAGTACGCTTCAAATTAATTTTCCAGTGTCCACTTATATTAGTACTTTCTGCTCAGAGAATTAAAACAGAATTATATATTCCATATAGATGCGCCAATTTTGGTGATAAATGATGATGATATTATGGGTAATATTAGACGACGTGGTGGACACCGTCACAGCGACAGCAAGAGCGTCATCACGCAGGGATTCCGCCGTCACGGTAAGACACGCCAGTGACACCTGGCAGTGGTGCCACATGACATTGATTGGATTTTGTCGTTCACGAGCTGTAATCACGTCTAATTACCGTGACTGCTGTCGGCATCCTTCTCTCTGATGTCATTATAATGAACGAATGAATGAAGCCGTCTTGTAGTTTCCCGCAACACTTTCCATCTCCTCTGTTACATAACGTTGATGTTCTTTATCAGTAAGAGGATGCACGAAAGACTCCCGAGTGCGAAATCGTATCCATCGGAAGCGCTCGTTAAATCACTAGCATTGTCTTCCCGCAACTGGTTACACTTACTTGTGAGTATGGAAGTACTGTTTTTTTTATCTACTTAATTGTTATGAGTTAAGGCTTTGAAGGGCATTTAGACGTGATACACATAAGGAAGAGAATTTATGGATGTCAACTTCTTCTTTTTGAGGAATACAAGGTTTGAGAGTATAAACTTGCTCCTTCATCTTCACGTGTGTTAAGACTGAATTGTGATCACAGAATGTAGCGTTCAATTGGTGATTACAATTCATCACACAGTTTTGACAGCGTCACACCATGCGCTGCAGTCGATTCCATCGGGACGTCATCGACAAGAGTTGACAAATATTGAACGCTTTATACTCAATTTACTCAAGTTTACAAATATTGGATTGTTGCATTTCCTACTTGTATTCTAATACTGTTTGTTTGCGTGAAAAAGTAAGTGTCCATATTAATTTTGTTAAAAACACATGAAATATGTACATATTTTGATATGGAACTGTTTGGCTTCAAAAGATTGTTAATCCTTCAACTGTGTATATAACAAGGCCCTTTAATCATGATAAAAAGTTATTTCAGACGCATTGAGATCAAAGACTAGCACCGCCTTAGGATCCTTAACCCACCATCCCCAATTGTTGATGGGGTTTTGCAATGACCAGCCTGCATATATATTTTGTTAATATCCCAAGGTCCATGTTCAACTAGACGTCTGCAATCAGAATATTTATTTTTTGTTTTGAAATATGTGTTTGTGAAAACAAAAAGACGCACATGAATATAACGTATCTCTACTGTACAGGACAATTTTTGTGATAATCATCATGATAATTATGATGATATTTTGGATAATATTAGACGATGTAGTGGACACCGTCACAGCGACAGCAAGAGCGTCATCACGCAGGGATCCCGCCGTCACTGTAAGACATGCCAGTGACACCTGGCAGTGGTGCCACATGACATTGATTGGATTTTGTCGTCCACGAGCTGTGATCACGTCTAATTACCGTGACTGCTGTCGGCATCCTTCTCTCTGATGTCATTATAATGAACGAATGAATGAAACCGTCTTGTAGTTTCCCGCAACACTTTCCATCTCCTCTGTTACATAACGTTGATGTTCTTTATCAGTAAGAGGATGCACGAAAGACTCCCGAGTGCGAAATCGGATCCATCGGAAGCGCTCGTTAAATCACTAGCATTGTCTTCCCGCAACAGGTTACACTTACTTGTTAGTATGGAAGTACTGTTTTTTTATCTTCTTAATTGTTATGAGTTAAGGCTTGAAGGGCATTTAGACTTGATACACATAAGGAAGAGAATTTATGGCATGCCTGAATGAAGTGAGGCGCTTTATTCAAGGATTGTTCATCCTGCTTTTGAAGTATTCAACCCTTCATTTAGGAATGTGTGTCTTTGAAGCTCGTGCTTTTGGGAAACTTTATGCCATATAGTTATCATTCAGAATCATGGATCCCAGTATTATTTACGTGTTGTTTTTGTAATAACAATCATGGGTTACTGACACGCACAAGGGACGCAACTCTGCACTGCGAAGTGCGGCATCTGCGACAACTGGGCCACTTTTCTCCTCTTCCAGAGACCACCTTTTCATGAAAATCACCCGGAAGTATTAAATTTGAAGAGCAAAAGGCAAGTCCGATGCAAATCCCTCTTTTTAAACCGAACCAGGTGGGTTTTTTTCAGGTGAACAATTGACTTTCCTTTGCATGTGTTTGTGATGGGTGCCACCGGTGGGACAGCTCACCCTTTCGCGAGCACCTGGTATTATCACCATTTGATAGTGATTCATAAACACATGCCCATGATGTAGTCGGAAACGTACTATGGACCCTGCTGTTGGCATATATTTCTTATGAATGTGGAAAGGGTTTTGTGGCTTTTACTTGCATGCTTTTCAGTTTTATGTACAGTGCGACATTTCAAGAGCACAAGACAAGTCCGATGCAAATCCCTCTTTTTAACCTGAATATTATGTACAGGTGATTTTTTCAGGTGAACATTTGACTTGTCTTTGCATGTGTTTGTGATGGGTGCCACCGGTGGGACAGCTCACCTTTTCGCGAACAGCTGGTATCATCACCATTTGATTGTGATTCATAAACACATGCCCATGATATAGTCGGAAACGTACAATGGACCCTGCTGTTGGCA